AAAAACCAACAAGACTTGAATCTCAAGGGTCTTAGCAACAACAACTCAAACAAGATGAGTTTTACAACACAAGTATTGAAGCTCACACAATTGAGCAATTAATGTTTAAAATGAAAAGCTCTATGGATGACAATATCTTTTTGCACTCAACAAAAAATATTTCTAACTTTGAAAATAATATTTTGATGAAAAGGATTGAAACAAGAGTTGGATATTGGATAAGTAAAGAATGGAGTGCAAGAGTTGTGTTAGAAATGAAGGAGCATGAGGGATTTATAGGATTTAGAAAAATAAATCCGTTGGAGGTGAAGATGAAATATTTTTGACAGTTTTTACCACAGGTGATCGATCCTAGGCATATGATCGATCACCAAGAGTTAAAAAAATATGGTAAAAGATTCAGTCAAAACCACGGGGGATCAATCCTACCCCCTCGACCGATCCTTCGATCAAATTCTGGGAAATAAAATGATCGATCTTATAAAGCAGATCATTCCACTAACGGAATGCTCTGCACAAGGATGAGCGCTCCACTGTAGAGCATCGATCCCCTGACGAATTATGGCCAAACATGAAGGACCCAAGGCATGTGTGCGAGTGGAGAGTACAAATTGGAGTCATTAGCTTGTTTGAGACATGCCTTCAGGGATAAGAGGCTCCATAATCAAACAAGAATAATTCAAATTCAAATTTTTAAATATGGAAGGAATTTTTGGTGTAGAAATCAGTCTTAAAAATATTTTGTGTCAACCGATGTACACAAAAAAAAATTAAGAGTATATTTTTCTTAACCACAAAAAAGTTTGTGTATCTAAATAATTATAATAAGAAATTTTGACACACCTTTTTGTAACTAACTCAATAAATTATTTTTAGACAGTGAGAGGTTTATTTTTCAACTGACTCAGAAAGTAATAATTTATCCCTCAAATATTAATTTGTTTAAGCAAAAATATTTTTTATCCTTACAATTTATTCCTAGACTCAAATAAAATAAGAGGTCTTTGGAATCTTCACTTCACTTGAAAATATTCTGCGTAGGGGTAAGCGTTGAAAAAGAACGTCGTAAATTTCTTGATAGGTCTCTTTGCTTTCTCGATTCGAAAATAAATTTTGGATCGTCGTATTGATTTCATCGTTCCGTTTGTCAATAATCAAAACCTGAAAAATAATACTCCCTCCGTCCCAAAAAGATTTACACGTTTCAAAAAAATTGTGTCCCACAATTCCTTACCCATTTCTATTAAAAAACCACTTTTACCCCTTACTTTTTCAAACCCTACCTATCACATCATACCTTTTTCCTAATAATCTACACATCACATCCTACTTTTACCCATCACATCAAGGATATTTTTGGAAAGTCAACACAAAATTATCCCTCCCTTAATTTCAACTTTAGTCAAAATGGGTAACACTTTATGGGACGGAGGGAGTATTACAGAATATCTAAGAGGGGTTTGAACTCATGTCCAACAAAATGATCTGACACTGTTGCTGTATTTAGGGCCCTGTAAACCACACAGAAACGATAGGTACCATCTTTTATGCGCACGAGCAAAACATGAAAAGAGAATGGGCTTTGACTTGACTGGATAATAGCTTGATGTAACATCTCTTGAACTTGTTGTTCAATCTCTGTTTTTTGGAAATATATATAACAGTACGGCCGTACATTGATGGGCTTAGCATTAGCCTCAAGGTGAATGCAATGATCCAAACCCCGAGAAGGGGGAAGGCTGCTCGGCATGTCGAAAAACCTTGCATGGCCAATGAGAATAGTATGGATCACATCTAGGATGTCCTCCAAAAATTCTACCGACGGGGTTGATTGGCTTGTAGTGGTGAATCATGGTGGTAACACTTCATAAAACTGCAAAGTGCATAGATGGTAATATGAGATTTAGCGTGGGACGGACACATCCCCTCGTAAGACCATGGCTGAACCATTCCATGCAAACTCCTTCGTCATAGTAGCATAATCATGGGAAACCTTCCCTAACGTTTGTAACCACTAAACGCCAAGAACGATGTCTCGCTCACGGACCTCAAACAAATATAAATCAATCTCAAAGAGATGACCTTGCAATGACAAAGGGTTATGGGGGCAAGAATAAGAATACCGAAAAGAATCCCCATTACCAACATAGACACGAAAGTGGGGCACGGGATGGTGAGCTAAGGCGAGTCGCTATGCAATTACCGGGTGAATAAAATTACGCATACATCTTCCATCTAGTAATACTTGGAAAACGTTCCCATTCACTAATCCTTCCAAATCAATACGAGGAAGCTTGGTCTACCTGTCAAAAAAAGGATACTACGGACGTTGCCAGTGATGACCGAATCACACGACCCGGGGGGTCTGTGTCCAACTCCAATGGGGTATCCTCTTTCCTCTTGTCGGGCCCCATAAAAGCAAAGAATTGATTCTTGCAATGATGGCTCAAAACCCACTTCTCGTAAAAATACCAAGAGAGGCCTTTCTTGTTATGCTCATTCTTCTGAACCGAAGAGATGCGAACAATGGGAAAAGTTGTGGTGGCCTTGGTGTCAGGTGATTTGTGCATGGTTGGATTAGTATTAGATTCGAGGGCTGTAATTGGTGACCCGCTCGTGGCTGGAGGTGCGGCTGGGCATGCAGACCATATGCACAACGTGGTGTGCTGCCATAGAGGGTTGTGGCTTCCGGATGACATGTCGAAAGTTCATGGGCCAAAAAAAGTATCTTGTAGCGTGCTAGGGTTCCGGAGGTTGACCTCCCACTGCACGGGTTGTTTCAAACGAGTGACATACATTGCGATCAGCGTTGATTCGAAAACGTCAGATACTTTATTGAAAAGGGATTCAAAAGAAGCATGATAGACCATGACGGTGGTTTTTTGTTGCAACTTGGACAAAAACATGACATTCTTAATAATCTGGATCAAAGTGTTAACGAACCGCAACATGGAAGGATTGCCAATTAGCCCCACAATTGTTGGCTTGATAGTATTGAAACCAATCCAACGCAGGATGGTCGATAAACATGGAAATGTTATGTAAGCGTTCCACTACCGAGGTAAAAAATAATCAAAATACTTCTAACTTCAAAATCTCCAACTAGTTAGATCTTATCCTGCTAAACGGCATGCCTCTACCCGCATGCGAGGGATGAGATTCAAAGGCACTGCATGTGTCATCGTACGGGCAATAGGGTTGACACGAATCCTCTAGACGACCAACAGAGGCCAACTCTGCAACTTGAAGTTTTGTGGCTTGGAGTTCGTTGCTGAAATTGGCGATGGCGTTCATGAGATCTTCCATGGTGAGGGCAGGTGCATCGGTAGAGGATGACAATGAAAGCACCAAACTGATATGGTAATCATTGGAAAGGGAAGCCGGTCGGAAATACCTCCTAGGCAGCCAATGTTGGGTTGACACACTAAGGTTTTCTTTCAACCGAAAGAAGGAAAAGAAAGAATAAAAAGTTTCCGAACTAGTTTTCTTTTATTGATGAAAACTTGGAATGGGTGCCTCTCTATTTAAGGACGACAGAAAAAACCCTATCCTGACGAAATAAGAAACCTAACCTTATCGGTTCAAAAAAGGCATCGAGGTAAAGAACCAAAAAAACCCTCGAATGAGCTTATAAACCACACTCCTAGGAAAGCCTAGGTTACAATCTATACTTTATTTAAAAAGAGGGGAAACCCCATTTCATTTTCCCGCCTAAATGGTCTTCACTCACAAATGGTAATTGCTAAACTTGAATCGGTAAGTGTTTAATGTCAATTCGCCATTAAAAGGTAATAAATTTTTTTATTTAACACGGTATCGTGTATAATAAATTAAACACATGTGAAACTGGTTAAGATGTTATGTGTGTAATAAAATAAAATGTTGAAATGGTAAGTAACACCAAAAAGGTGTGTTATAAATTATAATGTTGAAATGGTAAGAAACACCAAAAATGTAATTTATATTTATAAATTAAGATGTAATTAAAAACATAGAAATGGTAAGTAACACCAAAAAATGTGTGTAATAAAATAAAATGTTAAAATGCTATGTAACACAAAAAATGTAATTAATACTTACAAATTAAGATGTAACGTGTGCATAAAAATGTAATTAAAGGTATATTAACTTTATGATACGGTATTATAAAAAAGTTAATTAACACGGTAACGTGTTTCATTTTAACTTCATACATATTTTAAATAAGACGATTTGAAATTAAATAAGATCCTTATACACTGTTTTGGTAAGAATGAACAATAAATACAGTGTAAATACCTATGAAATAAATAAAATGATTTCCTTATTTTATTACACGCGTAATAAAATAAAATTTTGAAATGATAAGTAAAACCAAAAAGGTGTGTAAAAAAATAAAAATTTGGAATGGTAAATAACGCCAAAAACGTTATATATATTTATAAATTAAGATATAAAAAACACAATAATGGTAACTATGTAACACCAAAAAGGTGTGTAATTAAATAAAATGTTGAAATTGTAAGTAACACCACATACGTAATTAATATATATTTACAAATTAAGATGTAAGGAGTGTATAAAAATTTAATAAAAGGTATATTAAATTTATGATACAGTGTTATAAAAAAATTAATTAACACGGTACCGTGTTTCATTTTAACTTCATACGTATTCTAAATAAAATGATTTTAAATAAATAATTTCCTTAAATAAAATCAAGAATGAATAATAAATGTACTATAAGTGCCTATGAAATAAATAAAATGATTTCCTTATTTTATTACATGTGTAATTAAATAAAATTTTGAAATGGTAAGTAAAACAAAAAAAAGGGGTAAAATAAATTTGTAACACCCTAATCCGTCCAGGTCTGCAGCCCCTTTCGAACTAAAGTATTAACTAGGTAATCGTAAAAATTTAAAACATTTCCAAACACTTTTATTCATCACAAGAATAATATTCATAATAGTAACAGTACAAAGTTTTCAATGTTGCGGAAGCTTAACAAATCACAATCAGAAAACATAAATAATTTATGTTCTTTAATTCAAAATCATCACATCCATCCCGACAATCTCGCCTCCGTTTGTCGCCAGGACTATGTCACATCATTCTCTTATTTACCTGCGTGTAGCAAATAAAACATACTACACGCTCAGTGTTGAAGCTGAGCAAGGATATCTAATGCATCAAACATCTATATAAATTGAATATCAATTCATAATCAAATCATTTGAATAATAAATATTCAACATTCAATATTCAACATTTGTATTCAACATTCATAGTGTCAACAATGCTCTTAAACGATTCATAGTCTAAGACCAATTTAATGTTTACCAACTCTTTAACTAATTCTAGTTTAAGGTACTTCTAACCAACTCTTAAACTATATTCTAGTTTAAGGTACTACTAACCAACTCTTAAGGTAATCTAGTTTAAGGTACAAGTTTTCAAAAAGGTTTTCCAACTCTTAAACTAGTGTGAGCTTAAGGTACACAAGAAATCGAACAGTGGAATGCTCACTATCGGGTTGGGTGGTATCCCAAACGAGTGATCCTCTAGTTTGGTTTGCAGATCTCGTACATACGTTTTTACCCAGGCCACTGAATATTCATATTTATACCCGCAAGGCATGTTCTAATCTGAGATCTATCTTAGAGGTCTTCTACATAGCCTTAGAAATCAATATCAATTTACTAAATTGGTCATATTGGTATATATCTTAGAGTTCTTCTAGATACCCTTAACAATACACATCATTTTCATAATCATCAATATATTCATTTTTAAATCATAGTTCAATCATTCATAATTTTCATTCTAATCAGAATATTCATCAAGGTTTGATCATCATAATCATCAACCAATAATATTCATCATAATATTCAATAACAAATAGCGACCTAACATCGAGTGTTAACACCCTAGCTTACCGTCATGCATCAAACAAGGTTCTTGAATTTTTCAAAATATCATATTTATTTCCAGAAATCATTTTTATATTGATTATAATTGATTGGTATAAAAAATAGGATTTAATAGTTCAAAAATCGAGTTTTCTGGAAAATTTTGGGTTGTGGACGGTACCGATTACGGTACCTCGGTACCGTGTCACAGTACCTTGGTACCGTTCTTAGCCAGCCACCGCCAATGTTCACACAAGTACGTAGCCAGCCAACGCAAATCGTAGTGGCTTGAAGATTCTAATATGCAATGAAGACAATGTTCACACAAGTTGTACGAATAATATAGTTTATAAAAAGTCTTTTGAAATTAGTAAAGCAAAAAACTTTTATACCTTAAAATAATAAAATCTCTATATTTTATTAGATATCATTTTCTATCAATAAAAAATGTTCTTAATTTAGTAACGTAAATATGACATGCACAACGCACAGGTGTGATTCTAGTAATTCAACAATAAAAACTAAACATAATCTTTATATTGATGCGGTGGCCCCACAGTTCTACGAGGCCTAAACCTCACGAGTGACGTCGGCATGATATTTGGGTCATCATCCTCTTCCTAAACATGACCCGTATCAAATCACATCACTTTCCTCGCTCTTTCTCATATGTGATTCTTCAATTTTTCTTTACAATTTTAGAGTTTTCTCTAAAAACCATTTTTTCGATTGTGTTTCCATATCTAGGCTTCTCCCATATACCCTTATAATCTCGTGTTCATTTTGGATCTAGGGTTTTCTTGTAGTAAATTTCATAAAAGGTCTCAAATTATAGGTCATTTTACATATTTAATCCCTACATATCAAATATCAATAATTTAGTCCCCAATTATTATATTGTTTCCTACAAATAGTCCTTTTTTAACATTTCCGTTAAGAACATGGATAAAATTCTATATTCGCACTCCTCTCTCTTTTCAATTAAGCTTCCTCCCTCCTCTCGTACTCATTCCCAAACCCTTCGCTGAGTTTGAAGCTCTAAACTCAAAACCAAAATGATCACTCCTCTTTCAATTGTTCATCTTTATGGTGGAACCCAAAATCGAAACCAATAACCTTCATGGATGAATTTTATGTGTTAGTATCAGAAATTACAAAAAAACAAACATTAAAACTCATCCATGAAGGTTACTGGTTTCGATTTTGGATTCCACCAAGAAGAGTAGAAGACAAACAATTGAGAGAAGAGTGATGATTTCGGTGTTGGGTTCAAAGCTTCAAATTCAGCGACAGGTTTGGGAGAGTGCGAGATGAGAGAGGAAGCTTAATTGAGGAGAGAGAGGAGCGTGAATTTACAATTTTATCCACGTTTTTTAACGGAAATGTTAACAAAGAGCCATTCGTGGAAAACAATATAATAAGTAAGGACTAAATTATTGATATTTGATATGTAGAAACTAAATATGTAAAACGAACTATAAATGGGGACCTTTTATGAAATTTACTCGTTTTCTAGCTAGGATTTGTTTCTATGGTTTCATCTACAAACATTTATTTCTATTTTCACATGTTAATTTGTGGTTAATGTGATTTTTCTTAGATCTTTAGGAGCTATATGATGAAATTTCAAATCTTATGTTCATGCAGATATTGAAAAGCTAGAGGATGAAATTTTGAATGTTCAATGTTGCACTGCTGTTACCCTGAGTGTGTTGCTCAAGCCACTGACATTCTCTTGCTTCCATTTTTCATTTTTAGTATTGGGAGTACTTTTATTTACGAAACTTTTATGTGTAAGAATGGAGAGTTTCCAAAAAAACATTGGTTTTATGTAAGTTGGACTATGTTTGGTGTTTAATTTCATGTATATTTGATTGTTTGTTTAATTTATGTGTGTGCCCACTCTGGATATGGGATCGGGGTGAGGAGCTCTAGTACATTTCATTTAATAAAGTGAAGGGCAATTTGGGAAGGTCAATGTCATTCTTTTCCTTCATTAAATATGTCTCAAAGTCAAAACAGATAATATAAAACGAGACAGAGGGATAGCAATTAATATGGACCTCCGATAGAATATCATAAAGTAACGAACAAAACGTGAGGAGCATTTGTAAAATTTGCAAAGAATTTGCCTACCTATATGAAGAAAGTAAAATTGGCTAACTTTTAATATGGAAAAGAGGGTAGTCCGTATAAACCAAAAAAGATTAGTTCCAACTTCCAACCCCGAGTGTCCAGACCCGGACGGCCGAGATAGATTGGACTTCAATCATATAAACCAACGAAAAATTGGTGGAAGATGTTCCTCGAAGAGTCAGCAAATCCCATCCAGTGTGGACATGATATCCCTCGAATTTCCTTCTAATCTTTTGTGCCATCACCTGTTTTTGAAACAAAAACGGATTATATGTTTATACTCACTCCGTCCCATAATGTTTTACCCATTTCGATCAACATGCAAAATTCCGTGATTTTTAAAACGATTTTATTAACAAAATGGTAAAGAAATACAAAATAAAAACTTTATATTTAAAATCTACATTGAAAACTCTACAAAACAAGAAGTGAAAAGAATATTTTATTTTATCAAATGATCAATGAAAACACGTAAACAAATACGGAGTAAGAGTTATCGAGAGACCGTAATAATAAACGCGTAAAACTGTATGGGACAGAGGGAGTATTATATTATTCTGTCATGCAAACCTTCACACATAAGCCAGAAAATAAGCAAATGAAACACTAATGAGTAATGAAGAACACTCCGGGTAAGTGTTTAATACTAAGGTGGGCAAAAGTAACACTCCTTGTTATGTCAAATTCTACCTAAGTGTCATATTAGGACATTTGGTTCATTATATTTGAGTCATACGTTGGTCCGTTTGACCGTGGAGTGATTCCTATCCCTCTAGGATCATCTTTAGTAGGGTTGCTTAGATGCAGGGCCAGTCCCGAAACTTCTATGGCCCGGCACGAGACTAGAAAAAGGGCCCTTAATCCCGACTAATTAAGATATAATTAAAAATATTTCTATCTAAAAAAAATACTCGTACTTGTTTATTTTTAATGATGACAATAAGTTCTTTTGTGTACGTCTTCATATTTATTTTAGATTAAAAACATTGTTTTTATTTATTGAACAATTTTTAAAGTTTATAAAACAATTATACTATATTAGTGTTTTTTAATAAAAAAACAGGAATTTTATTGAAATCAATACCAAACATATAATCTTATGCGCAAACTTGAAACAATAAGGTTGGTAGTTCAAGAGGATGACTTATGTGCTTGTATCCAAAGATGTTCCGTTCAATCCTCACCTACAACATTTTATTTTTTAAAGAGTAAATTCCATAATTGGTCTTTTATAACAGGTGGATTTCCCTTATTTAGTCCTCTATTATCAAATATTACCCCAGTGGTCCTTCTTTTATAGGTATCTTTCCATAAATAGTCCTTTTTTTGATCTTCTATCATGTTGGTGTTAATTTGAGGCTAAAAATGTAATTTCACAATGATAATATATCTTTTTTGTCATACACAATTCCAAAGGATGTCCCGTTTGCATCGTTTGTGAATTACAATCGCTTTCTACTACAACCATAGTCTACAAATGTAGTCTTTCATCAAAATCCTAGCCCACAATCATAGTCATTATTTTTGTGTTATCCGCTTAACCAATATTAGAACACGTCACTAGACATAATGTTGATGTCAAATTATACTGTTAGCCTTTAAATTAACACCAACATGGCAGAAGATAAAAAAAGGACCATTTGTGGAAAGGCACCCTTAAAAAAAGGACTGCGGGGGTAATATTTGATAATAGAGGACTAAATATGGAAACCTCCCTGTTATAAAGGGCCAATTATGGAATTTACTCTTTTTTAAAATAGGAGAAAAAAGATTTGGGCTATAGAATATTTAAAAATTTGCATATATATAATAATATATTAAAAAATTTGGCCCCCCATAAATCTTGGGTCCGGTCCGGTCGGGCAGCCCTTCACCCCTATGGGCCGGCCCTGCTTAGATGACTTGCTTCACCTAAAAAAGATGATAAGGAACTAATGTGGAGCACCAAGTGAAACACTTGTTGCTTCGTTTTATAAAGAATTGCTTACCGAAACAACTGTATCTTAGCTTTTTATCACTCTGTATTAAAATAATGCTAAATAATTCACCTAGACAACTCACTAAAGATGGTCTGACCCCTTTGCCCACCCCGCCCCCTCCTCGAGTCACCCAAATGAAGGGGCCTAGGGGAGTTGGGTCCGACGCAGAGAGTGGGCTTTGGGAGGAAGTTGTGAGGAGTTAGTGAGGGTAGAAACCACTTTACTGTCGAACAGAGCATCGTAGTGCCTTTAAATAGACTAGTGTTCTATTATATCACCAGTCCTTGTGTTAAAAGAACCGATACTGTTATACTAATAACTAGTTGTACTTTGCTTTTTATTCATTGGAATTTTTTTCCGAATATAAATCACGATCAAATCAAATTCATTCTAGTTTAGAGATATATTCACCCAAATAATAAAGAATTTATGGTTAGTTCACTCCAAGGGTAACCCCATAAAACACTCCACCCATTCAGACACCCACACACACTTCAGAGTCTGTGAGGAGCGTGGGGTTGCCCAAATAAAGAGAGAACTGCCCTTAGGTCATCCCTCCAAAGATGACCCCAAATATCATTCGACCACTTCATAGACATTCGCGAACATTGTTTAGTGTTTGTGTTATGAGGAATGTGGAGTGAAAATTGAGGTAATGACCCTACTATTGTCCCACCTATATTAAAGTTCTTGCGTGAAATACACCAGACGGCCAATGTGATTTTTAAGTCATGCCTCTCACCATTAAATACAAGGCTTGCTTTGGTTTGCTTAATCTGAGTGGAATGGATCTAAATTTAGAGCAAATTAGGCAAGCACTAACCTCATGTCTATCACACATTGAAGCGAAAGAGCATCACATCCCCTTCTTGTACGACATACTCTTTCCCCTCTAACCTCAACTACATAAACCAGTGTAGATTCATATAAACCTGGCTTTGTATTGGTGAGTTACAAGAAATTAAAAGGCAAGCATAAATTAAAGAGCAAAATAATAACAACAAAACAGGATATCATAAAAGAGAACAAGAACAGCACTCAGAAACACCGACTTACAAGTCCTTTCTCTCTCGCAGCTGCAAATGATCCAGCAGCAACAAAATCATCATAAGCAACCTAGGATCAATTTCCTCATCAATACAATCTGAAATCAAGCTCATATACATCTTGAACTGCTACATATGCTATTGTTTACTCCCTCCATCTCCCTACATAATTTTCATGGTTTCTTTTTTCATCCGTCACAAAATAAGTTTATCACTTTTTCTCTTTTCTTTTTTTAGAAAGGAATGTGTTGTCCAAAATATGTTTCTTTTAAACAAGTTCTAACCACTCACTGTTCAACAGTTTCCTTCATCTTCCTGAAGTCAAAGTAAAGCAAATTAATTATTTTTCACAGAGTCAAACTAGACAACTAGTGATGAAAAATACACGCCTTTGCCACTAAGTAATCTAGCATAGGAAAACTGGGGAAAAATGCTCGGCAATAGAGTTCACTAACTACATTGCGTCATTGGTACTAACCGTCTCTGCTCGAATGAAACCCTTTTCAAAGTCAGAATGTATGACTCCAGCTGCTTGTGGTGCAGTCATGCCTATATAAAGATTATGAAACAATTTAATGTTCAACAAAATCGCGCACTGTCTATGTTTACATTGCCAGTGGATCTACAAGTAGGCATAACTAATAAAATGGCACAACCGTGTAAATGCAGCTTCATAGGAAACAATTTTACATCACAAATTTGTTCGTTTTCAGATATATGTGCCAAACAGGCGAATGGAGCTTTTTACTTTCATCCAAATACTAGAGAATGTATCCTATGGTGAAAATTAGTAAATTCCCAAATATATACTCCCTCCGTCCCATAAAAAATCTTCCCCTAAGCATGTCTCCTTTCTTTATGTATTTTCATTGATCATTTGTTAAAATAAAATAGCTAAGTCACATCTTCTTTTGTATAACTTTGGATGTAGTTTATAAATATACTCCTTCAGTGCCTAATAAAAACTTCACACATTATTTACAACATTATTTACAAGTTCAAACTATATCATATTTCATTACTTATTTATTATAATCACTAGTTACAATAGAGTAATCTTGTCACAAGTTGTTTTAAAGAACTTTTGATGTAGTTTTTAGATATGCAAATTTAATTATAAAATTTTACACCAATTTGTTCAATTCTACACCAATTATTAAAGAAATTGAATGGAAAATAACTTCTATAATACATTGTAAACCATAATGAGAAGTTTTTTATGGAAAGGAGGGAGTATATTAGCATTTTTAGAAAAATATTCTCGTCATTCTAAACAAACCAAAAACTTGTTAAAGGGGAGTAGTGCAATAGAATAATGATACACTTTTGCGCAAATAAGTGAAAATGCATAATTTTCTCGAAAAAATATACAAAAAACGCGAGCGGCAAAATTCAATACTCGTGATGTGATGTGTAAATTAATTTTTAATGCAAATTAAAAACAATGCTAAGATTTTCTTCACCGTTTATTAATAATCAAAACATATAGTCTAATATGGAGTAGAGTATTATCAGCTCAATATGAACATAGATGTCATTCAGCAGAAGTCATACTGCATATCTCAGATATTTTTCTTTTGATGGGTAGAAATCTTCTAACATTATAGAGACAAAACTGAAACCGATAAAGTTTACCATACCAAAGCAATGATGCATCAACAGTCACTTTATCTCTTTAAGCTTAAAAGGCACTGATTGATCACGTATAGTAAGTATAAAGCATGGAAATGTACTGATAAGTGATACTCCGTAACTAATTAATGATACAAGGTATATGGTTAAAGAAACTAAATCAAGGCATTATGGAGTATAATTGTAGAAAACTATAGCATTTACCAGATAGTATCGTCCAAGCTTTTGTTTCCTGCAAAATATATTAGCAAATCCATTTAACGAAGTGAACTGATATCCTAATTGTAATGCAAAGTTATTTACGTCACCTTCTCGCCAGAAGTGAAGTATGTTCTCAAACCAAGGACAGCATATGTTGCTCTTATAAGATTTCCTAGTCCACTCTCATTAACAGCAAGTGATTTTAAATACTCCATCCTTTCACCTAGAGGAAGTTCAGAAAGCTCTGATTCAACCTGCATCATGAAGATCCTAATGTCAGTTGCACCAGCACAAAGTCAACAGCAGATACACCAAGAAAAATTTGATTTTGAAGACTTGATTACAGAGGATAGCACCTCTTCACAATATATTACTCCTATTGTCCCTAAACAAACTTCTCACTTTCTTGTTTCTCCCAAAATAAACTCCCATCGCCCTTCAAAGAAAACATTACGTGGTTCATATTCTTTCTCTCACCTCCTAAACAAATAACAACCACAAAAAACTCATTTTCTTGATCTTCGTGCTGGTCAAGGTGGCCTCTTATTTACAGATGGATGGTGTAGAGGGGAAGGGGTGAGGGGGGAAAACCTGCGCAGATATGGTTACTACACCACATTGTAGCTTTGAAGCAGTATCCATCACTTCTTTGACATGAAAATTGCTTTCAGGTTGAGATACATCCGCCTCTGCAATATTAGCCACATATATGACTGGTTTCATCGTAAGCAAACAAAGATGCTTCACAGCATCCTTTTCAAAATCCGTTAAAGATACTGATCTTGCTGGTTTTCCATCAACTAGCGCCTGCTGAATCCTTTCTAGGGCAGACTTTTCTGCTTCTTCCTGTAACAAATTGATTAAAAATGATTTTTTATACCTGATGATATTAATAGTGTCAATAGGGAAAGATAAGACCATTCTGTGACTATTAACAAACTTTTACCTTAACTTTAGACTGTGAATCTTTAGCCCTGCCTTTTTTAAGTTTCTCCATTCTTTTTTCAATCTGTGTTTCTTATATAAAACCCATCTTAATTCAAGAAGTCAGCATCATATGCAAGACAAAGATAAAACAATATAAAAATACCTGGTCCAAGTCCGAGAACACCAACTCCAGATTGATTATATCAATATCAGACTTTGGATCAACTTTCCCATTCACGTGAACAATGTCATTATCCTCAAAACAGCGCACAACCTAAAGCAGTATTCAAATCCATATATGATATAGCTACAAATGTTAGAACTTGTGGAGGGTTGACAAAATACTTCCCTATCACGATTGGACCACATCAAGGACTTATGTTGAGGTCAATTCTAATTGCAACGGCTATGGGTGAGTTAACCAAAATTGTCCAGGATGGGGATTATAGTGTTAGGACGTGAGAAAGTGCTAGTAGATGAATAATGTTAAGTTAAATATGGAGACAGGAGTTAGAAGAATGAGACATTAAGATACGATGAATCAAAATGGATTAATTGGAGTCCAATTTAGCACCACTAAATATTTTAAAAAGTGCTAAATTGGATGGGAAACAGCTATCAGCGACAACAACAACAACCAACAAACCAACCGACCAACCAACAAATTAAATTTTCATAAATGGGGTCTGGGGGTAAGTGTTAACAGACCTTACCCCTACCTAGAAAAGATAGAGGAGAGAGACTATTTCCAAAAGACACCAGCTCAAACACAAAAGAGCACCCAAAGTAAGGACAAATCAACAAATAAATGCAAAGTAAAAGAGACGCAAATACCAAACAAGCACGTCACTTAGGTCACTTTATCTAACAAATCTCAAGGCCTTGCACACGGGGGAGGGGGGGTCACTCATATCTAGGTATACGGTATAACTAAGAGATTAATTCAAGTAGATGAGATACATTATACAGGGAAAGTTGAGATATATTATACACGGGAAGGGAGACATTGACAAAGATATTAGACATAGGATTAATGCAGGTTTTCTAAAGTGCAAAGGGGCGATGGGAATACAATAAAATAGAAATGTGACCGGCTAAAGGAATTCATTTATGACTACTAATAGCCATAATTAATACATTTTGTCTAATTCACCATCCTATTATAATTTGTTTATGGAAGGGATTTGTTTTAAGGCACTTCCCATGCCATATTTAAGTGTCCAAGTATTGTTCTGTAAATTTTTGCTACGTTTAGAATGAATATTGAAAACGCACACCGTGTCTTCGTGATTTTTAAATGTCACAAAAATCATCACAAGCATCTAGATCTTTTATCGCAGTTTTTGTGGTAAATGGCTCTCGTTAAACTTAGGATGGCACATGTTGCAATCTAAGAGAGGAAGTGGAAATAACTCGTGGGAACTTAAGGCACACACTCTACTAGGGCTGAAAAAAATTGAACTAGAACAGAAAAATACCGAACTAATTAAATCTGAAATTGCCAAAAATTGACTTGTTCAGAGGCTCTGGTATGCAGTATGGTTAAGCTTTATGCATAAAAAACCAACCGATCTGACTGGATACTGACAAAAAAGTGACTAAAACATGCCAAAACCAACCAAAACAACCAAACCAAAATCGACTAAAGGTAGTCGGTTCAATTTTTGGTTTTGCATATTTCAAAACAAAACCGATCAAAAAACTCCAACTAACTTCTCTTTTGAATTAGTGAGGGGTCAGTGATACTTAACAACAACAACAACTCAATTGAATCCCGAAAAAGTAGGGTCTAATACGTAGACCTTACCCCTACTCAAAAGTGGAGAGCTTGTTTCTAAAGAAACCCCGGTTCAAGCACAACATGTAATCAAGTACGCAGCCTAACCCTTATGTTTAAAACATAGAGCGGTTGTGTCCGGATTGACTAAGAGCTTGTTCTCTTCACCTTATCTGAATGATTCTAATCTGATTGGAATACGTACTGATCTAATCTGATTTGAATGTACTTATACTTAAAGCTTTTCTGATTTGATATGATCTAGTCTGATTTGAACAGAACTGATTCTAATAAGTAATAAGAACAAATTGAAGTGAACAGACTCTAAATGCTACTTCACTATGAAAAAAAGCACAAACTGTTTAAAAAGCCATTTTGCTATATTCAATCATGCCCCAAAGCCAAAAAATAGTGAATCTTTAGTGATACTTATATCCACTATCAAGAGAGGTCTTAAAGTGTCATAGATTACAAAAGAGGTCGTGATAAACCAAAAATGAAATGGATTGTAGATGCGAAAAGAAAATTGGAGCATCGGATCTTAAGATGCATAAAGTACATGACATTAAAGGGTGAAAAAGACTGATTTCGGGATATGACCTCTAGAGATATGTAGGTGTACGACCCATGTACCCAACTCCATTTATTAAGGATGAGAGCTTGGTGATTGATGGTGTTGCACTATTTGCATATAGAGCTTTAAATGAAGGGAGCATTATTCAATGATGAGAAGTGCATAAATATATGCACACTACTTTTCTTTTGCATACAGTGAGCCTGAGGATGAACATATAAAAGGAACCTTACAAAGCACTCCTACCTAATGTAAAGAGGTAGAATGAGTTTGAAAGAAGACAATAGATTATTTCTAGAAGCTCCATTCCCAACCAGATTAGCTCCAAAACATAAGAATTTAACATTACGACAGATATACCTGAAGTATGGAGTCCACTTCACGAATGTGTGACAAAAATTTATTACCCAAACCCTGTCATTAGAAAACTTTATTAATATGGTTTGTTACCATGGAGCACCAAAAATGAACCAATAAATAATACGGAGTATACTAGAACACAACAAATTTTGATTGCAGATGAGCCATATTTGACTGGAATATATTGCAGTGAAGCCGTAAAGGATATGCACCTCTCCTTGGCTAGCGCCCTTGACAAGTCCAGCAATATCAACAAATTCTATTGACGCTGGGATAGCTCGATGTGATTTGCTAAGATCAGAGAGCACATTGAGGCGTGGATCGGGAACAGCAACCTTCCCAACATTTGGTTCTATTGTGCAGAAGGGAAAGTTCGCAGCTTGAGCTTTTCCATTCTCTACCTGCAAGAATAGAAGGTATATGATTTTTCAGTTTGTATAAGACAAAAAAAAATTTACCATGATAATGAAAATCTTTAAGAGAAAAATGAGCAACTGTCGCATGCAAATGAGAATTCTTTAGAGAAAGACGATCAGGATAATAAAGAGATTGCACACAAGCAGATTGAAAAGAAAAGATGGACATACTATAGAGTAAAATGAACAACTGTCAACAAAAATACAAAAAATGACCCCAAATTTAGGTATAGGTAGAAATACACCAAGAATAATTGTCAAGGACATTTAGTAGCTCAATCCGTTCAAACAATCACACCCTTACCAAGTAACTATAAAACCATTCAGTGTGCAATGACACTCCAATAGACCAACACTACCAGACCGCATGACATTGACAACAGAACTGTTAACCACATTATCACTAAGTTCCAGACCAAAAGAACAGCTATACCCTTTTGAGTTAAGAAAAACCAGGAGTAAATCAAGTTTGCAGAATACTGATTATTTTCTCAGCATAAATGTGAGCCACAAACTGAATTGCAGGGAGAAACAGTTTTGGGCTCATCAAAAACAACCAAATATATAAACTTTTAAAGGTTAGGGTAAAAATGCAGCCAATTGAGCTTCCTAAGGCGTGCTGTGATTATCTTCGAGTAGGAACATTTATGCAAATACATGATAGAGTAACGAGATGAGGTTGAACTAGGATCTGAAAGCCACAAATAAATGTGTGCGTGCACGAGTTAGAAATAGAAATACTTACAACGGCGTTGAAAAGGGTGGATTTTCCTACATTGGGAAGGCCAACAATCCCGGCTCGCAAACTCATGCTTATTTTTGCAGCGGAGAAGCGCCGAGTCATTACGAGTTGAGAAAAGTGGGTTTCTGAACGTTTAAGCCATTGGAAAGATTTGGTTTGCAAGAGAGAGGAGCTAAGCGGAGGTGCTATGGAAGGAAGAAGCTGAGAGCACACTATTCTCGCCATTGCCTCTTGCTCTGTCTCTGTGTGCGTGGGCGTGCTGCTTGCTAAAGCGGCTTTAGCAGCCGTTTGTAAACCTTTTGGTGTGGACGTGTGGTTGAGTGGGCGTTGAAAGATAGCAAGATCCTAGTTTGCATTCCATGCCCATTTCAAACAAGCATTTTGATGGTTTTTTTCTACAATTTTTCTTACCATTTTCTCATCATTCTCCTAGCTTTTTATTATTTTTTCCACATGTTTTCTTCTTATTTGTACAAAATAAGATAAAATAAAAAAGTAATTACCAATCATATATTTTTAATCTCTAGAGAAATATTACTCCTACTATCTCTTATATTTCTCACCACTCTCTAATATATACTTCCTTTCACATTTTCCCTTCCATTTCATCATATTCCCCTTTATTCTTCTCGCATTAGTGATGCTCTTAGGAAGTGTAAACATCGTACATTGGATGGATGTACACTATTTTTCATATTCCCCTTTATTCTTCTCGCATTAGTGATGCTATCTACTCATAACGTTTAGAGTAGAGTATATTCAGTCTATATCACGAAGTTCATGATGGATCCAAAAGTAATTGCATAATGAACGATTATTATGCACTTCTTTCATTATAACATTGAGTCTTTGAAAGACTTAGACGTTTTGATTATGGGCATGTTTTAGATTCAACTACATTGAATCTAGAAATAACTTACCCTTATATATAAACCGAGTAATCTCCATTTAATATATCCCAATAGATTCAATATACAGTGTGTGTTTGTTTTCCCTTATTGATAAGAAATTCTACTCAGCTCACCATGGACGCTTGAAGTAGGAATTTCAAACTTATGATGTGTATGTCATACATACCTTTTAAGAAAAATATAACGCTCCCACTAACCTTTTATTGTCACAAGTTTTCATCCTTAACGACAAACTCATAACTGATTATGGTTTCCTTAAAGAGATGAAATAACTCTAAGTAATTTGCTTAAGATATTATCGAGTGACATTTAGATCTTATAGCTCATTGACATTTCCTGGACTTAGGGTCATTGATGCCCATAAGACTCATCTTAGGCATCATCAAATGAATCGCATTCAGAAACATCCACTATACTTGTGTTGTTTTAGCAAGCTCGAGGTACAACACATTATATCTCTTGCTCATGTTCCATTCTTAGAAAGGCAATGTCCTTTTGGTCCTTGAACTTCTCCAAGATTTATCCTTCTCCCATTGACATTCAGGATGAAAAATTCCTTTTTTAAGAAAACTCTATTACGAGCAACAATACTTTGTTCTCTAACCGTTGATAGAATTATCCGTGAGTTTTCTCAGATTATTCCAAAAGATATTTTAGCTTGTGAGACTTGTAGAAGACTTTGGTGCCATCCTTTAAGTAGGACATCTTAGGCTTAGCCCTCTTAATATTGTCTGTTGAATGGAACTAGGTTAATAATATAAGTTGAAAATGAATATGCCTAAAAAGAATTTAGTAGCGTTTTATAACCTATCATAGTAGAGTGAATAAGGACTAAATCCTAAGCTCTTTTTTATTGTTATTAAATTCTTTGTTTAAAGTATTCATTTTCTCAAACATATTGGAGAATCTCATACGTTCAATCCTTTTGTTAAACTCTCGTACGTTCAAGACGTATGGTCTATCGGAAATCATCATCTCAATGAAGACCAATTGTCTCTTAACTGAAAACCTGGTGAATTTTCTTATCCAACATGGAGGTCACACCTCCTTTAATCTTTCTTATGATATTCACGTAGTCTTTCTTCTATTAGCGGGTTTGCGATAATAGAAGTTCGAGGTATGGACTTGGAAGATGAAGAAGTGTTTTTGGATATGAGCTCGCTAGTGCTCATATCCACACCATCGACCCATTTGTTCATCCCTACATCTTCTTCCCACCCTTTCCCTTAGTTAAGTTTAACATATTCAACTATTCTTAGCGATCTTGTCACTTATCGAGCATACATGTGACAAGATGATCATTCTTGTTTTGCAACGTTTGCTAAAAGGTCTATAACCAACTTTTGGTGTTAAGTGTGTCGTAGCACTTACAAATTAATTCATTATTTCCTTAACTCGTAACCCCCTTTATTCCTCCTAAAGAGATATCTTAGAGGGCCAAGGTCTATGACGAACTGCATATAGCGATAAGTCAATAAATTAACCGAGAATAACTCGGATCATTCTCTCTATGATTGACGAAGGGAATAGTTAGTTTTATTATTTTTGACAAGTTAATTTATAGTCTAATAGTCTTAAAAGGATGTGAATACATAAAGAATTCAAGCAAATAAAATAATTAAACAAATAACTTCAGGAGTTAGAATCGGAACTCAGATAGTCAGACTTATCACAATTTAACTCATCTTTAATTGACAATTGGATTAATGAAATATGTAGCACTTATGTTTAATATATCTCCTATTTCTAGCTCTCAATATAAACATAAATTCTAATCTTATATTTAATACATCTTCTCTTTCTAAGTCTTAGTATTAAGCTATAAGATTATTTTATTTCCAGTACATCTCCTATTTCTAAGTCTCAGTACTGTGCTGGAAAATGCTCGGCTAAAAATAATTATAAATCCTCATAGACAAGGCAAGAATTATTTTCCAATTACTTAATTAATAAAATGTTTAGTATTATTAATTAGTTAAAACCATTCCAAACGGTTATTTCTAACCCTACCTATTTCTAGATGTTCGGAACGTATGGCTTAATTAATCTTATTATCTCTTAGACAAGATAAAAGATTAATTTCCAAGGATTAATTAATAATAAAAATAATTTTATTAAATAATAAATTTTAATTCATTTTCTAACAATTTATCCAATTACTAATTAATAGATAAAATTAAATGTGTTAAATCCTAATTCCAAATCCTGACCCATATATAATTACCAATTCATAATTGTAAATAAAATATTCAACATCATCATGAAAAAAATTCTCAAAGACATATTAATAATAAATTCCAATTAAACAAAGTGTTATTTTATTAATAAAAGTTTAATGAAAGTTACAATGAAGAAAATAAAAACTGATAGTGCTCCATAGGCTAGAAAAATAACTCTCGATGATGAAAATTAACCAACACAAATTTGATACAATATTTAGGAGTGAAAAGGAGAAATCCCCCCCACCTAAAAGGGGAAAAACGGAAGGGAAAAGGCTTGGGGAAACAAATGGACCACACAGGCTTTTATAGGAGGAGAAACATCGCAGGCAGGCAGGCGGGCAAGTAGGAGGGCGCCTACTTTGCCGCATGCAACCTTGTTGAAGGTCACCCCTTCACGACACGCGGTCAGGCGGCCGCCTGCTAGGCCGCCTACTGCATCACCACTGTTCCTGGATGCTAGTTTACCTGAAATTGCTTTCTCAACACTTTTTTCTTCTGCACCAACTTCAAATTTTGCACCGATTGAGAGATAAAATTATTTTTCTATAAAAAATTAACTCTTTTAATTCCATTCTTGGCCCAATTTTGCATATGAATTCAAAGACATTCTTTTTTATGATCAAATTATCAAAACATAATATTTTGATGAAAAACGAATAAAGAATTGATTGATTTGATAATTAAAATGGTATAAGAACGTATTAAATGTGAGTAAAAAGGTAAGTACAAAACAGACTTATTAGTCCATATTACATTTAACTATAGTTGTATTTTACATCTTGCCCAAAAGTTAAACTAATTAGATAGGAACTATTTCTAATTGCAATCCAATTACAATCTTTGGTTTGCTAGGTTGTTTTAAATAAAATATACATTGAGCCTATGTAACACCCTCCGTCCCGCGAACCCAGTTCGCCGCGGCCCAACGGACTGAAGGGGTCACACATATGGTATTTAGGACCATCTAAATGAAACCCCTTGAATTAAATGTTGTAAAACTTAAACCCTTGATATTTTTATTCAAATAAAACCTTTGGGAAATTAATTCCCTTGAATGTTCGGAGTAAAGGAAACGTTACATTGCGGAAGCATTAAAAAACCAAACGTTAAGTCCAAACGAATTAAGTACGACAAGGTGGGTTCAATCCCAAAACTGGTTATAATATTAAGTGAGTAATAAATTAGGTCCACACCGTCGCTTTTCTGCCGCCCCGATCTCCCAATCATCCGGGTCAGGCTCCATAATCACCATGCCTACCTGCGTATAGCAAAAACAACGCTACATGCTTATCATAAGCTGAGTGGTAATCTAACAGTAGAAACCTTAGCAATATTTCACATAGTTATAGACATAATCTTAACTTTACTAAGTACGGAATACCATAATCTTACTAGCCTGGTAGCTGTTATTGTATGCGAACTCCATCAATGGTAGATAACGCTCCTAGCCATCCCTGAAGTTGATCGCGTAGGCGTGCATTATATCCTCGAGGATCTGGATAACTCTCTTAGACTGATCATCCGCCTGTGGGTGGAAGGCCGCACTAAAATGCATATCAGAGCCCAGAGCTTTCTGTAGGCTCTTCCAGAACTGAGATGTGAAACGCGGGTCGCGATCCGAGGTGATAGATGAAGGGACTCCATGTAACCGAATGATCTCGCGGATGTACAGCTCTGCTAGTCCATGTAGGGAGGAATCTCGTCGTATCGGAAGGAAATCTGCGGACTTAGTCAATCGGTCCACAATGACCCAAACTATATCGTTCTTGTGAAGCAACAAAGGCAGCCTCACTACGAAGTCCATGGTCATACGATCCCACATCCACTCGAGAATGGTAATTTGCTGAAGTAGTACGGTCAGAACCTGATGCTCTTCCTTAACCTGCTGGCATGTCAAGCATCGAGCTGTAAACTCCGTGATCTCTCTTTTCATTATGGGCCACCAATAGTGTTCCCGGAGATCCTGGAACATCTTGTTACTACTTGGGTGTAGTGCATGGTGTGTATAGTCACGTGTGCTTCACAAAGGAGACGTTCCCTCACTTCCCCCACTGGCACTACCACATGATCCCAATAGAAAAAGACGCCATCCTCTCATACAGAGAAGTCAGGTTTCTTGCCTCGAGAGGCGAGCTCACGAGTCTGCTTGCAGAAGTCGTCTCCGCGGTGTGTTGTCATAATCTCTTAGAATATTGTAGGCTGAACTCGGAGTACAGCTAGAGTCTTGAGACTAAGGGCATCGGCCACCACGTTTGCCATACTTGGGTGATAAGCGATGTGATAGTCGTAGTCCTTAATCAACTCAAACCATCTCCTTTGTAGTAGGTTCAGATCCTTCTGACTCAGAAGATACTACATACTATTATGGTCGGTGAAGATGCGCATTGTCTCTGCATATAAGTAATGCCTCCAAACCTTTAGAGCGAGAACAATTGATGCCAACTCTAGGTCATGTCTAGAGTAGTTACACTCATGCGGCTTCAACTACCGAGATGCATACGTTACAACCTTACCCAGCTGCATGAGAACACAACCTAGGACATTGTGAGAGGCGTCACTATAAACCGTGTACTCCACGCCTGGAGTCGGTTGTGCTAGCACGGGTGCCTGGGTCAAGCACTGCTTCAGCTGCTCAAAGCTCTACTGACAAGCGTCAGTCCACTCAAACTTCACCTCCTTCTTCATCAGTTTGTGCAAGGCGAAGCCAAATTTTTTGTGTAAATACATCTTTGATCTTGGTGTCCATTTTGTTTGCATCCTGGAAACTAAAATATCTGGAGCCAAGCTGGAAGGGTTTGTGGATGCTAAACTCCCAGGCTGGAAATCTGCTACCAATTTTGATGTATATCCTGGTAGCCGTATGTTGATTCTCTGGAATCCTTCCTTTTTTGATTGTGAAGTCTTGAGTCTGGGAGATCAATACCTTCACTGTTCTGCTAGATGCCTCACTACCCAGAAGGATTTTTGCTTAACCTTTGTCTATGCATTATATACTGTCACCACTAGGAGAGACCTATGGAATAGGTTGTCTTCTTTTGCTGGGAATATGGCTAAGCCTTGGGCTTTACTTTGGGACTTTAATTGTGTCATGGCCTCCAATGAAAGAGTCAACTGCATGAGTCAAGGTGCTTATTATATGACTGATCTTCAAAATTTTATCTCCTCTAATTGTTTAGAGGATGCCCCATCCAATGGGCAGTTTTTCACTTGGCATAAAGGGAAGAAGCTTGCAAAGCTTGACAGGGTGTTGATCAACCAAAACTGGGGAGAGTCAGGATGGGCCCCCTCTTGTGATTTCCTAGATTTTAACCATCTATCTGATCATAGTCCTATGTTACTGCAGTGTGGTAGCCCCTCTTCTGGCAGGAGCAAAACCTTCAGATTCTTCAATATGTGGCTAAAACATGAGGACTTCTCTGGCTTGGTTTCTCAGTCTTGGGGTACTGGGGTTATTGGGTCAAAGCAGTTCTCCTTATGCTCTAAACTTAAACGCCTCAAACAACCTCTGAAAACCCTAAACAAAACTGCTTTTGGACACATCTCTAGAAGAGCTTTGGAAGCAAAGGAGGATTATAGTTTGGCTATGAAGGAGATCCTAAGTGCCCCAAATAATCAGAGTTTACTGGATGCTGCTGAGGTTAAGAGGAAAAAGGCTAATTTCCTTATGAATGCTGAATTGGAATTTTTTCAACAAAAGGCCAAGTGTGATTTTCTTATGAAATCTGACAGGTGCATTAGCTATTTCCACTCTCTGGTCAAGAAAAACAGAAAGAAAAACTCTGTCCCTTTCCTGATCAAAGAGGATGGTGCTAAAACTACCTCCAATGTGGAGGTGGTGGGATGTCTCTTGGATTTCTACACAAATCTGTTTGGTAGTTCTTCTCCTGTGGAACCTATTGATGGTGAAGTGTTGGCTGCTGGACCTACTGTCCCTACATCCTATCACTCTGTTTTGCTAGCTGAGATCACCCTTCAAGAGGTCAGGGATGTGGTCTTTGAGATTGGAAATGACAAGGCACCAGGGCCAGACGGGTACACTGCAGCCTTTTACAAGGATCAGTGGTCAGTGGTTGGCCAAGATGTCTATGATTCTGTTGTAGAGTTCTTTACCTCGGGGAAACTTTTGAAGCAAATTAATCATGCCATGATTGTCCTGATCCCTAAAACTGCCCACAACCCCTCTGTTAATGATTTTAGGCCCATAGCTTGTCTTAATGTCCTTTACAAGATCATTACTAAGATTCTTGGAAAGCGTATGGCACCCCTACTACCTGATCTGATTGACCCTGCCCAATGGGCCTTTGTACGAGGCAGATCACTTGTTGACAATGTTCTCCTTGCACAACACTTGATTAAGGATTATGCCATCAGAAGGTCCACACCTAGTTGTATGATAAAGCTCGACATCACCAAAGCTTATGACACTGTGTCCTGGAGTTTTCTGGAAGAGGTGATGATTGCTTTGGGTTTTCCTCCCAGATTTGTGGCTCTTGTTATGGAGTGTGTCTCGTCTGCTTCTTCATCCATTCTGGTCAATGGGGACTTACATGGTTTTTTTAAAAGCAAACGAGGGTTGAGACAGGGGGACCCCATGGCACCCACTCTTTTCCTCCTGTGTGTGGAGTACTTCTCTAGATTGCTTAACTCTAGAGCCAAGGAGGGAGTTTTCAATTATCACAAGGACTGTGCTGCTTTGGGGATAACACACTTGGCCTTTGCTGATGATCTTATGTTGTTCTCTCGTGGTGATCTTCCCTCTGTGCAAGTGCTTATGGACTGTTTGCAACATTTTACTAATGTCTCTGGGTTGGCCTTGAATCCTACTAAGTCCAATATCTTCATTTCTGGGAAAAACAGGGACACTAGTCAGGAGCTACTGGATTTGGTTTCTTTCCCTCGTGGTCAACTACCTGTGAGATACTTGGGTCTCCCTTTGGCTTCACAAAGGATCTCAGAGAATGACTTTGCACCCCTCTTCAAATCCGTGAATGGATTTCTGTCCAAATGGAAGACTATGAAGCTCTCTTATGCTGGGAAGGTGGAACTGATCAGGGCAGTTATCCAAGGGGTCCAATCCTTTTGGCTCCAAGCCTTCCCTGTCCAAAAATATGTACTTGATCGTATCACTTCTCTCTGCCGGGAATTCCTTTGGGGTAGCAGATTTGCCAAAGTTGCCTGGACAGATATTTGCAAACCCAAAGCAGAAGGTGGTCTTGGCCTCAAAGATGCTGGTACTTGGAATAATGCCTTATTGTGTAAGCTTCTCTGGAATCTGGCAGCCAAGAAGGATTCACTTTGGGTTAGGTGGGTTCATGCTGTTTATGTTACACAGGGTGATTTTTGGCATTGGCAACCTAAAAAGAGACACTCTGTTTTCTTTAAAAGGTTGGCCTATGTGCGAGAGCTTTTGATTCAAAAGCTTGGTGACCACAACTTCTCTATGGATGTGGCTATGCAACCTTATTGTGTGGGAGAAAACCTTGTTCCACGCAAGGTCTATGATTTGTTTAGGGTAAAGTCCAGCCCCAAGCCATGGATGGCTTTCATATGGCATTCAACAATTCCTCCTAAATGCTCTTTTACGATGTGGTTAGCGTTTAGGAGGAGGTTACCCACCAAAACCAACTTGGAGTTTCTTAGCCAACCCATGGATTGTACCTTCTGTAGCCAGGCTTTGGAGAATGTAGATCATCTTTTCTTTGGCTGTTGTGTCACTGAGCAGGTTTGGCTACGTATTCAGGGTCAGATAAGTACTTTGGACAGGGCTCTTCGATGGATGAAAACTTTTAGAAAGGGCGATGCTCTTTTGAAGAAAACCAGGAGGATTGCGTTGGCTTGCACGGTGTTTCAAATCTGGAAACATAGGAATGCTGTCCTTTTTGATCGAAAACCTCTTGATGTTGAGGCCATTATCTGTAAAATTAAATTGATGGTGTATTCTGTTGTGGGAAGGCTTTGGTCGCTGTACTCCCTTTCTTTTTTATGATATTTGTTGGTGTGTGCATTAGTGGCTGCTGTTTGGTTGTATTTGTTGACGTTTAGTCTTGTTGGCTAACGTTACTTTGTGGATTTGGTGTGTTACCAATTCCAAGCTCGGGTATGCCCGTTCTATTTGTATATTCCTATTCTTCTTCTATTTACATTTTTACCGTTTGTGCAAGGCGAAGCTATTTTCGAGATGTCCTTCATGAATCGGAGATAGTATCCTGCCAACCCCAGGAAACTCCTCACCTCTCGTGCATTACGCGGAATCTTCCATATCGTGTTCTTCCCGTAGAATGCTAAGTACCGTGCGCAGATGTTCCGCATGCTCCTCGGGCATCTTGGAGTACACCAAGATATCATCAATGAAAACAACCACGAACAGATCAAGGTACTTACGGAACACATTCTTCATTATATCCATGAAGACTGCCGGTGCATTAGTCAAGCCAAAAGGCATCACCGTGAACTCGTAGTGACCATACCGAGTGCGAAATGTTGTCTTAGGAATGTCCTCCTTCTTGTCAGGAATCTGATGGTACCCTGATCGCAGATCAATCTTAGAGAAGACTGTGGCTCCTCTCAAATAGTCAATCAAATCATCGATGCAAGGAAGAGGATAACGATTCTTGATGGTGACCTTGTTCAACTGCGGTAATCGATACACAGCCTCATCGATCCGTCCTTCTTGCGTACGAATAGAATTGGCGCGCCCTAAGGGGACACATTATAATGTATGAAGCCCTTATCTAAGAGCTCCTACAGTTGAGCTTTCAGCTCCTTCATCTCTGCGGGGGCCATGCGATAGGGTGTGATAGAGATGGGTCCCATTCCTGGAACCAAGTTGATCGAGAACTCTACCTCCCTCGTGGGTGGTAGACCTGGCAATTCATCTGGAAAAACATCCATAAAGTTGCACATCATAGGGATTTACTCCCTCTGGGGTGCCTCCAGCTGTGTGACATGAACCGTGCATAGGAAGGCTTCACATTTCTTGCATATGAGTCGATGAGTCTGCATGTAAGAGATGAATCTGGGAGCTTTTGGGAGGAGCTCGACATGGATCAGTACCTCGGTAGCATTTTCAGCTTTCACCCGCATTGTATGTGCGCCACAATCAACCACAGCTTGGTTAGTAGTGACCCAATCCATGCCCAAGATGACGTCAAATTCTCGATGTGGAAGCTCAATCAGATTTGCAGGGAAACTCATCCCTTGCATTACTATCGGGAAATTGGAATAAATATGGCTGAGGCCTAGACTCTGTCCTAATGGATTAGACAAAATCACAGGATTCTCCAGGTTCTCTCTCGGAATATTCGACAAAGCAAACATGGATGCACACAAATACGACAAGGTAGAACTTGGGTCAATCAAAGTAGATATGGAAGTATCAAATAACGTGAACATACCCACAATCATGTCATGGGCGTGCTACTCAGTACGTCCATGCATTTCATATGTGCGGGCTAGAGCCTTCCCAGCCTGGGCACTCGGTGCCGACTGTTTGGGTTTGTTGGACGTTGCCACTGACTTCTGGCTCTGTGCGGCCTGGGCGGCTGGGGCTGATGCCATGGGTTCCGTCGGGAATGCCTCGGAAGGGTTTGTTTTACAATCCCTATGGAAGTGTCCGGCCTGTCCACACCCAAGGCATAGACCCTCAGTGAACCAACACTCCCAAGGTACCTTCTCCCGCAAAGGGTGCAAATTGGGTAACGGTATCCGCTCTGGCTCTTTCCACTCTTCTATGTGGGTGCTGATCACGGGGCAGGGTCCGACTTGGCCTTCTTGCCCAGGTGTGAACTGCTCAGAACGAAGGGAGGCCTCTTGCTACTCACACCGGTCCTAGGCGGTGGGGGTGGACGAGGAAGTGTTGCCTGAGCATGCTCGTACTCAGCCTTCCTGAGTAGAGCTGCATGAAGCTCCAATGCCTGCTTGTACATGGCATTGATGTGGTACCTGGGTGCACTGATCAGCCTAGAGGACAGGTCAGGGCGTAGTCCCTCCATGAAGCGCTTGCACCGCTTCTCCATCGTCGGTCCCAGGTCTCGGCCGAACTCAGCCAGGTCGCCGAACTTCTGACGATACTCAGGAAGTTTAAGTTCACCCTCGCTGGACTTCATGAACTCGTCTCGCTTCTCCTCCATGAAGTGCTCGGGCATATACTCTTTTCGGAAGAGCTCGTCGAAGGTTGCCCACAGCACTGGCTCTAGGATGTTCTCTCCCACACACTTCCACCAGTCATAAGCAGCATCCTGAAGTAAAGCAATGGCTAGGTTGAAGAAGAGAAATACATCGGCACGACACACAGGACATATTTAAAAACTTTAATACAAAGCCACAATCATACACCATGCATCACATTCATAAATCACATGCATAAATAAACATACACCGGGTAAGCACCGCTCGGCCAGACCTAGTTTATTCTAAGAAAAATAAACTAATAGCTTAAAAATTATCAAATAATTTATTTAAGTTTATATTAAAACTCAAAAATATTCAAACTGATAATTTGAATTTTCCTGAATTTTAAAATAAATAATAGGTTTTGATTTTGAAATAAAACTTATGCCTTTTGAAAATTAATAAATACATTTAAGGATAATTTTTTTGATTTTATAAGTCTGAAAATAAAATTTCAAGAATTTATATAATTTTATTTTCGAAATTGTATACTTTAATCACATTAATTCAATATTGATTTCTAAAATTAATTTTGAAATCTCCACAAATAAATATTTTTACAAATATATGTATTTGGATCAGATCAAATCTGAAACTCAAATTTCCAAATTTAATTAAATTTTATTTTCTGTATTTGGAATTTATTTAAAAAAAGAGCAAAAGTAGTTTCCAAAATTAATTTTGAATATTAAAACATTCATAAATATATATTTTCCTAAAATAAAAAATTAGACTCATTTAAAATTTTAAAATCAAATTTTCAAATTTTACTAAATTTTATTTTCAAAAATTATCATTTATTAATTGGTATTTAAATAAAATAATTACTAAAATTATTTTTCATATATGTTAAATATTATAAAAATCAATATTCTCATAATATCATGAAATATTTACCAAGTAATGAATTTCCATGATTTAAACATTAACTATGTGATTTTAGGAAATACAATTTGATTTACCGAAACTATCTTTCCCAATATCACAAATTAAGTATTTAAATTAAAGATTTATTTATGAATAATTGATAAAATCTTAGAATAATATTTTCAAATTTATGGAATTATAATCCCGAATTCTAATTGTCTAATTCTATGTAATCAATATTAGTGTTGAATAGACAATTTTGAATTCGAAAATTAGAAAATAAAAACTGAAAATCTAATTTAATTTTCCAGAACACTTGAAATCATATTCTAACATCCCATAATGATTCAAATTATTTTTCCGTATTTATCTTGAATTTATTTTTCAATTAATCTAATTAACTACAAAAGCAATAATATTTTTAAATAAGGAAATAAATTCCGAAATTTAATTTTAATTTTCAAGAGCACTAAAAATAATATTTTAAAGTCTTAAATTTATTAAAATTAAATTTTATAAATTCATAAATATTTTTCATTGATTAATCCAATTTAATCAATAAATGCCAAAATTAAAAAATATATCCCAATTTTAATTAAAAAAAATCATATTTTCAAATTTCGTAAAATCTAGAATCTTTTTTTGACAATTTTATGAATTTTGGATAATTTTCAAAAAATTATATACATATATAATTTAATTTTTCAATTAACAAAAACTCTAACAACAACCAGATCTACAAAATTTATAACTTCATAAGTCGGCTCTGATATAACTATTGGGAAACTATCTTGGAAAAGGCAGCGGAAAATAAAATTTTTAAATCCAACATCGTTTCCACCCAAGATCCCTTAAGAAGATTATAAGTTATCGTTACTAGTTAGAAAGTATACCTTTGTGCGCGAGCAAGCAACAAAATATGGTTGATGAGATTGGTCCAAGAGGTCGCCATAAAAGAATCTGACATCTAGTTTGGACACACAACAATTAAAAAGTGTTCTACAAAAAGATTATGTTAGTAATCTTTTTCTAGAATATTTCTAAAATATAAACTATTTTGAGTAAAAGATAAGAGAGAAGAAAACTAAATATTCTTCCTCCTTGTGGAATGTGGCGTGAGATCAAGAAGCCAAAAGGGGAGGGATCACCTCCTATTTATAAGGAGAATAATCTTCATTCACAATTCTAATGAGAATATGCCTTTTAATGTTTATGAAAGAAATCAAAATACATTCTCATTAAACTTGGAGCCCAAGTTTCAAATTCCCCTTTAAGAACCTTCCAATTTATTTTGTCAACTTTAATTATCATATAATTAACACAAAATAAAAAATATAACATTTAATATATACTATACATATATACATGTATAATTTTATATATATATATAGATATATATATATATATATATATATATATATATATATATATATATATATATATATATATATATATATATATATATACGGCGCTACTTTATAGATATTTATACTTATATTTTGTTCCTTAAATAATATTTGAGAAACTTAGCTATCATATAATTAAAATGTCTAAATATATTTATTTCATTTTAACACCATAACGATAATAACAACAATGATACAATTTCTTATTTTGTGTGTGTGTGTGTGTCTATACACACACACACACACGTGTATCCATACATATTGTCACACAATATTAATACACACAATATATAAATATCATTTTACTCCATTTCAATGTTCTACACTTTCATATGTTATATGTGTGTGACCCTATTTTAGGTACCTATAAAGTTGGTCATAGTATTGATTAGATACTACAAGTGATAAGCGGTATCTAGCAACACATTATCAACCTAAGTTATAGATATGAAGTTCTCGGAACAATTCCTTCGACGACACATCTTATTTGTATAACTTTTATCCTTTTATCACTAATACCTTAATTGAACACAAGGTATGGGGTGTGTCACTTTGTTATAGTTAAATTAATGGTTTAGTGATTCTTCAATTGACATGTGGGACTCAAATAACATATTTATTTGGGCATGACCATGCACTTCCCAAGTCACATTAATCAGTAGACCCTAAGATATTATATTTCATTAAAGAAGTGATAAATTTTATCTACGTCATTGACATCTGCACTTAAGTTTCATTACATGCCGGAGAGATAGTTTTACATCCACCAATATGTCACATGACATTAACTACGCATCAAAGTATGCAACTCAACTTACCAAAAATTGAAATGACTTCAAGTCGAAAGATAGTTATACAAATGGTCACATGAGGATAATATTAACGCATTAACATAATATCCATGTATTATTCTCATAACGGGTCAATCAAGCAACATATCTAATATGTTCACCTACATATAGATTCAGATAACACTGTATCTCTAGCCTATGAGACGCAGCTATCTCATCTCATACGTATTAGTCTTAATATATTATGATGTCTGTATTATCATAGTATTCGACTAAGGATATTTTAGACGTAGTCTCTATCTTTGTAACAGCCTCATAATCAGAAAATCATAGTTCTCATTTATGTTAGTCAACACGTACTCTATGGACTAAATTTGTGTTTAAATCACACGGGACAACTTAAACAATCTTTAAGGCTCATTGTTCTTGATATAATACAGATATAGAATCATAAGTTGGCCTGTAGGGCTCACTAATATTCAACACGTCACTATCTATGTAAGAGGACGTAGATGAATGTAACCTCATATTCTTAGTCAACATAAAAACTTTATAATACGACCATAATTTTAAGGAATTGGTTGTAGCACCTATAATTTTCTCTCTGAAAGCTCAGGGTAAAACTGGAAGGATCTAGTGAAATTCACCTCTGAGTACAACTATTTCCCCCCCAAATGGTTCATTTTTGGTGTAACTCTTAAAGAACCTCATGATATCTCTCATTGATGGCACATATTGAGAAACAAATAGATTGAGAATCTCGCGTGTGTTGTCCTTCCACCTTATCAATGCTTCAATGCCACTGGATGGAATGTTCAAAACGACCTTACTATTCAATCTTAGAGAAGCTTACAATAATTTCCAGAAGAATATTTTTCCAATTCCATCGTAACCATACACAAAAAAGAAACCTCCTCTTTCATATATTAAATAAAATAATGTCTTAATATATTAGATACTCCATATTTGATATAATTACTATGATAAAAATATACTATCAAAAGATCAATTGACATATAAGATGTGTGTTGTTTGATAATGTTACCGTATTATTTACTTGAATATTATTACTAATGTGTGAAAAGTAATACTCTCTCCGGCCATAAAAACATGGGAGTTATTAATTTTTAAGAGATTTGAGAGAAGTGTATTTTGGTATTGAATTTCCAAAAAAGTCATTTGATGTGATGGGTAAAAGTAAGATTTGATGGGTATATTATTAGTAAAAAGATATGATCTGATAGGTAGAGTATGAAAAAATAAGGGGTAAAAATGATTTTTTTAATAGAAATAAGTAGTATTTTTGGGACGAATGAAAAAAGAAAGGAGAAAGGTTTTTAGGGACGAAGAGAGTACTAGAAATGCATTTATTTGATTAAGTATACTTTGAAATCTCTCTTTTTCTCTCCATAGGAGTATGTGTGTGTATATAATCATATATAATAAATAGTACTAATATTGTTATTATTATTATTATTATTATTATTATTATTATTATTAATGCCCCTTGGTTCCCATGACATTGGGAACCAATGTCATGGGAATCTTCCCCTAATTAATGTTGTTATTATAATTATAGTAATAATAAAACTAATAATTGTTACTCCGTATTACTCCCTCCGTCCCAGAAAGAATGCCACAGTTACTATTCTGGCCTCTCGATAACTTTTGTTTGTTTACTCGTTTTGGTTGACCATTTGATAAAATATTCTTGTCGCATCTTGTTTTGTAGAACTTTTCATATACTTTTGAATGGTGTAATTTTTACTTTTTATTACTTTACCAATTTGAAATTAAAGTGATTTTAAAAGAGATGATGTTTTGCACGTGGTTCGAAGTGTTGCAAATAAATTGGGACGAAGGGAGTAATATTCATTTGGGCCAGCCCGACACACGAGCTTGAACATGAAGCCTGAGTATAACTGTACCCTTAAATATCAAACCCAAGGCAATTACTTTGGAGGCAGCATTTTGCAGGAAAGGGGGGTCGGGTACCTAGGTCTGTGATCGTGCCTACTTTTTTAATCGACACTTTCAAATATCCACAACTTGATACCCGAACTACTCTTTCGTGCTGAATGAATTACACTCTTCGTTTAACGTGTAAAATCGCAAAAAACTGCTCATGGGTACCCCCTATTTTGAGAAAATAACTGCCGGGTACCTCACATTTTTAAAACTAACTACGGCGTACCCCAAAATATATATTAACTTACTGATGAGGGCCACTCCGTCTATTCATCTGTCAAAGGACGTTACGGTATTAATATCGAGAAAATAGGGTTTGAAAATCCGAAAATGACCTTGCTTCTTCTACTTAAATTAGAGGATAAGATATTTGGATAAAAAAGGGTTTGAAAATCCGGCAATTGAAGCATACAAATTGAAGAGCTAGGGTTTGCGTTGAAGAGGTACGAATTGAAGAGGTATGGTTTGCGTTGAATAGATGAAATTCTAGTCATATTTCCTACATTTAGTTCATATTTAGTTCAGGTTTAGTGCGTGTGACTCATATTTAGTGCTACATTTAGTTCATGTTTGCTTTGATAAAAAGGTAGGATTTGCTTTTGTGCATGTGACTCAAATTGATGGAAAAGAGATTGAGTTTTGCTGTTTTGGTTATGCAGGTTGCGAGACGAATCTGGTCTTCATCGTGAATGGCTCAAAACAGGTAAGTTTTTGAAAATTTTGGTATTAAGCAGCAATTGATGAACATATATTTACATTTTTTTTATTTTTTTAATAGTTGTGGTAGTCACTCTTTCACCACCTATAGAAGAATCTGTGAGTATGGCGAATGGCTCGAAGTGCCCTGCTGTAAATGTGGGAAAGAGATGAAGTTAGTGACATCATGGACTGATAAGAATCCCGGAAGAAGTAGGTTCACTTTCTTCCTTTCGTTGGCATTAAAGTGTTGATTCCTCTGATTTAAGTTGCTTAAGTTAGTCATTGTTGAATAGGGTAATCATAAATGCTTGCACTGGGAATGGCTCGACCCGCCAATTTGTGATCGTGCCAAGAAGATAATTCCTGGGCTTCTAAAGAATAGGAATGCAAATCAAGAGGAGATAAAACTCTTAAAAAGGAAGACAATTGTTGCACCATTTATCTCTGGTTTTGTTGTAGCGCTTGTCATCGTTTATGTGGTTAATGTCAGTGGCGGAGGCAGGATGTAATTGTTGGAGGGGCACCGCGTAGAGGACAAGATTAAGGGGTAGCACTTTCGAATTTTATTTTTTTTATTTTTATTTTTTTATTTTTTATTCTCCAAAAATAATTTTTTTAAAATAAAAAATAGATGACTATTTAAGTAATAAGAAAATACTTATTTTACTTATATATAAGTTCATGGTGGACCTAAAGTCCACCAAAGAATTTGCTTTAGAGTCCGTTTGGTATACGGAATTGATGGAATTGGAATTGAATTGAATTGAAATTCCATAGAATTCAATTCCATAGAATTGAATTTACCAATTCCAATTCATATTTTGCACTATCAATTCCAAATCCACATAATATTTAAGCTACCAAACACTAGAATTGGAATTGAAGTCCTCAATTCCAATTACATAGTTCGAATTTCGTGTACCAAACGGGGCCTTAAAGTTTTTTAATTTGAAACAAAAATAATTATCCTACGACTATAACACCAAAGGGAAAAGTGCCCATAAGGGGGAGGTGGCTAGGGTTAAATGAATTTTCTAATCCTTGGCCTAAACGACATCGTTTCCCATTTACTTAATAATACGGAGTAGTGGAGCATATGAAGCGATGAAGCCTCGCCGATCTCCGATCTGAACTTTTGGATCTAGAGCAGACAAAACTGAAATATAGTGTTGGAGCATCGGCGGTCGCTGGGGGGGTCACTTTGCTACAGTCTACTCATCGCTGGGTCATGATGGTACTTCGCCGGAGCCTCGCCGGGGGGGGCACATGCCCCTGCATGCCCCCCTGTCTCCGCCCCTGGTTAATGTTTTGTTTATGTAAGCTGATGAATTGAAAAATGTGAAAGTAATAGTTTGATGTTGAAGTTTGTATGATGTAATCTGAATGTTGTTTTGTGGGTTGTATGATGTACTTAGGTTGTTGAGTTGCCTTGGATGAAGCTTGCATGTTGTACCTTGGTTGTTGTGATAAAGTACTTTTTTCAAATTTATTTTGTGAAAGTATTTATTTGAATGTTTTTTATTTGAATGTTTTCACTGATGCAATTCCTCTCTCAGAGGAAAATAAAAAAAACTACAGGATTCTGAACAGGATTCTGAACCAAAAAGAAAAGAATCTGGAAGAAAAAAAGAAAAAGTTAGATATAGCCAAACATAAAGCATATTTGATTAGAAAAATACAGCAGTAAAAAATGGATTGGTTAGTTGAAGGTGATTAGAACTCTTGACTCTTTTATTCCTGGATGAAGTAGAGGAGCTTGCAAAATTTTATCATTCCAGTTAAGAACAGTAAAGGTGAGTTGGTGATTGATCCTAATGAAGTGGCTTTGGCATTTGTAAATTACTATCAAAACCTTATTCGTCCAGGAACTTAAGGAAATTGTCCAGTTTGGGGTCCTTCTGAATATTGATCAACAAATCAAGCTGATTGAGCCTTTTAACTGTAAGCATATTAAAAAGGTGATTCTTGACATTCCAAATAATTTGGGAGGAAAACATAAAAACTACTGTTACAATAAAGTAGAATATGGCTTACAACCCAAAAAAATTAAAAAAACAGCAAAATGGTCATTCATTGATGCACAAAAAAACAGCAACAAGTGTCTAAGCTCCTCAAACATATGGCTTACAACCCAAAAAATTTTAAAAACAGCAAAATGAGAGTATGTCATTAAAACAATCTTTTATAAAAGCCTCTTTATATGAAGATAATGAATAAAGTAGTGTACCTGAAAACTTTGAGGCAAAGTTCTTATAAAAGTGCAACACACATATCCTTCTAGAAGCCTTTGGAAGAACATTGTGTAGCCCTGTAACTATGGCCTATAAAAAAACAGTTTGCATAAGTACATTTGTAAAGGTTTTTACAATAAACCATAATAACACTAACATTTACCTGATGCCTGTCTGATATTATAGTGTATTTAGATGAGTCCTCAAGGCTGATGTGATTGCTGAGCCAATACATATGATGTGATTGCTGAGCCAATACATATTTGGCATCTTCTGAAAATTGGATTTCTACCAGGACCTATTTCCTCCCACCTTATGAAGCAAGAAGAGTCTGGATTTCTATCCTTAAAAACCTCCAAGTATTGAGGTAAAAGATTGTAACCATCCTTGTGTCTTCCTTCAACCATATTCCTCATGAGCTTCAAGGCCCTCCAGCAAGTATAATTGCGAATAAATGTGTTAAATTTAGTCAACATTCGCTTTTTGATAGTGTCAGCATTCATTTCCCTATTACTTCTAAACTCCTCGAGCATATGGCTTGCAACCTAAGCTGCCCCGGCCCTCTTGTGATGCTCTTTTACTGCACAAACATGTCCATCAGTAAAAGATTTGATCATCCAGGAGTGTCCATCAATGAGAATAGAGGCATGGATCCTAAAGGCACACTTATTATTCTTACAAACTTGAGTATACTTTTTCTTGTCATTTTTTATTTTCTTCAAAAAATCCCTTTCTGAATAAGTAGTCCTTCATGATCATCAATAAATCAGCTTTGCAACTAAATACATCACCCACTTTTAGGTCAACCTTCACATCTCTACCTCTTACCCATAACCTCCCTGTTTTATACACCTTAGCCATCTTGTTCACAATTGTCTGGCCCGCTCTCTCTTCCTCGTCTTCAGGATCACCAAAAAGCATTATGTCTTCAGTGTTAGTTACACCAACATCAAAGTCCTCCTCTGAATGTGACTCTTCATCTAAAGAAACTTCTTCACTGTTACCACTCTCTTTCTCACTATCTTCATAATCACTTTCTTCATCATCATCTTCAATATACCCCTTTGAGCCATTACCGACTACCTCATCACATCCATATTGATTAAGATCCACAATCTCTTCAAAAAAAGTATCTAGAGGAGGAATGTAGGGTTTGCTCAATGTGGGAATATCATATGCTTCAAGGCCTTTCAACTCCTTAGCCAAGAGTTTGGCACTCAGTTGAGTTATCTCAAATTGTTGGATTCCTTCATCCCCAACACTCCTCTTTTTACTCCTCTTCAACTTCCTATGTCCCCTACCATCATGACCATCATCTACGTCATTATTATCAGGTTCTGTCCTGGAAGAATGTTGTTGAGTAAGAGTTAATGAAGGAGGGGGTGAGGTGAGGCTACATTCTGTACGGACAGATATACTCTCAGGATCAATGAAGGAGGGTTGGGGCTGCACCTCAAAAGACCTAATTGATTGTCTTCTAATAATTAACTTAGTCCTCTTACAAGTCCTACCTTCAGAATTTGGAGTCTTATTACTATTTTCAATTGGAGTTACAAGCAAATTGTCACCCAATTCATCAAGTCCACTCATGCCAGCCCCATTACCAGTTTGGGCAGTGAAACCAATACACTCAGCCATAGTTTGTAATATATTAGGGTCTTGTAATTCAACTACGTATAAGGGGATGTAAGTAGAAGGGGTATCAATCCAATGTTCAATCATCTTAACCCAATCCGAATCAGAAATTGTAACGCCCTCAAACCGGCCTAGTTTTAAATAAATAAATATTGAGATTTCGATACGTTCAAATGATTTCCAGAGCTAATGTATTTTAATTATTATAAAAGATGTTTTGATAACGGGTCTATCGACATTAATTAAGTAAATAAATTAATTAATGATTGGGATGGATCCAGAATTTTGAAAATAAAGTTTTGAGAAAAATATTTTGAAGATATCATAAACTTAGTTTTGACTGTTCATTTCCAAAAATGCAAACGGTTTTCAATTCGGACAAGTTTGGGGGAAAACCCGCGTACTGTTCAGGTCAGATTTTTATATAACGGAATAGAATTTAGGGAATTAATTTCCCACTTATGCCTACACGCCACTCCCCTCTCCATGCCATTCATTTCTCCACATTCACTCCCTCATAAACTCTACATTACTCCCCATCATTATAATAGCTCCTCTCCCCTTCATATCCTTAACAATTGTAACCCACATCTCCATAACTCCCTCACTTTCTCTTCCTCCTTTCTTGCATTGTTTCAGCCAAGGCAGCAGCCCAAGGAAGTCTCCGGCGAAGCTCCGGTGGGTGCACGGTTGAGGGAGAAGGAGGAGAAGAAGAGCTAGGTCGTTCGTGCGAAGCGTAGTCAACGTTCCTTGTCATCTTCGTAGTTTTAACGCATCTTTTAGAGGTGAGTAGTTGTCCCCTCTAATTCTAGAACATTTAGTTATAATCTATGTCGTTATATTCATAGGAATATCATACGCAACTTACGTAGAATCTATGCATGTTCGTAGGTTAGCCATCAACACGTTCACTATGTAAAACTTATATATTATTGGCCTAGGAATCACTAGGAACATATTCATCAATGTTGTATTATTGTTCTAAAAGAATCTAAGTGTTAAATTAGCAAAATGGATCAAAACAAAGCATGGGACAGCGGACTGTCTTCAGGACGGTCGACCGTCGCCATGGACGGTGGACTGTTCTCACGGCCATTCCGACGGTCACCATCGTGACGGTCGACCGCCGGCCGCGACGGAAGACCACGGTGGACCGCCGGCAGTCCAGTCCTCCACAACGTAGCCCACGGTCGACCGCCGGTAGGGAACGGTCGACCGTTCCGCGGGCAGATTTCTGGGCAGTTTGTAGAACGAACCCCGTTGACCTTATTGACCCAGAATCAGTTTGTATTTTTGCATGAAATATTAATCTTCATTATATATGTTATTTAATTGATATATTCTTGGCGTTGACCATAGGTAAATATATCAAGCATTCATCATGTTCATTCTAGACGCATGTCATAGGTTTATCATCATGTGCATACCGCTGTAGGGAGGTCAGGCTTTCGTGCGCCTACTACAGTGGGCCCGTCCAGGAACCTTTGGGAACTAACGGGTTTTCATCAAGTGGGCTTTGTGTACGTACATAGTAGTCAGGTTACGGCTACTACCCGGTTTTTTTTGCTAGTCCATTTGCGACATTTCGTCGAGCCCGACTCATTACCGTTGTGGTATGATAACCGGAGTGCAGGGGTGATCCTGTCAAGTGAGGCTAAGCGAGGGGTGTCCCTGATAGTTTAAGTCATCATCATGTATGTTTCACATCAACATTCAATGTGGTAGCACATCATTTTGTTATATGTAATAGTACCCCAACATGTGCAAACTAAACAGTTAGTAAACATGTGGTTTTCTGTACGTTAAGTACAGGTATTATTATGTGTATAATCATATGGTTATCACTTCATGTTCTTTTCTTAGATTCACTCCTCAGCTTTTGCTGACCGTGTAGTTGTTTTTGCTACACGCAGGTAGACATGACGGTACAGGTGCTAACCCTGGAGGACAGTGATGATGGGAAGATGGGCGGCGCACGGACGAGTTTAATAATTAAATACATTTAATAAATTAATCATTTGGGCAAGAACCCACCATTTGTCGTTTTACTTATTTTGGACTTATTTATTTACTTCCGCTTTTACTCTGCATTTACATCACACACGTCTTGGGGTTAACTCCCTAGCATTTATTTCATTAATTAAACACAACCGTTTTCATAATAAATAAACATTAATGTTTTTCTGCTACGGACGGTTCTCGGACCGCCCATGTAACCCTACCGGTCCATTGGGACGCGGGTGAACCGGGTCCACGGAAGGCGGGTGTTACTGAAATTAATGGCTCTCTCTGAATTTCTTTAAAGGGTGTATGAAACTGAAAACCAATGAACCTGGGAAGACTCACATACTGTTCTTTAGCTTTTGCAATGACATCCGTATACAAATCCTTTGTAAAATACATATCCAAGTCAATATTGTCTATGACAATGCATTTGCCTTTCACATATACAAAAAAACCTGTTGGAGCCTGAAACATAAAAAAGAAATTCAAAATTTCTAGAATTTCAAAGCCAATAAATACAACATCATGTCCAGTTACTACCATTACTCTGTTTCATAAAGAATTGATGAATCCAAGTGAATCTATCAAAATTCCTTCATTTAATCTATGTAAAATCGAACGAAATTACGTACAATACAAACCCTAAATCCAATTCCCAAATTCGTCCAGTTCTTGTAAAAATAACATACACCTACCATGAAGAACAAAGACGAACCAGTCAACCGCTAAAAAACTTCACCGGAAATGTTGTCAGGTTCCAGAAAGGGAAACAAAGAGTTAATGTTTGAGATGGAATGAGAAAGAAACGATGTCTTTACTAGGAAAAAAATGGGGGCATTATAGACATTTCATTCACTTTGACGGATGAATAGACGGAGTGGCTCTCATCAGTAAGTTAATATATATTTTGGGGTACCCCGTAGTTAGTTTTAAAAATGTGAGATACCCGACAGTTATTTTTTCAAAATAGAGGGTACCCATAAGCAGTTTTTTTGTGTAAAATCGTGTGACTTTTAAAATAATTTTATTTACAAATGACTATACATATCAACAATAAAAAAATATACATTTAAAAAACCTAGTATTTGCCGTTTTGATATAAAAAGCTTCAATTCTTCTTTCGATGCGAACGAAGCCCAAACGCAGCGGTGATTTGTTCGAAGTCTCACATCTCTGCCCCTCGCACGTTTATACTCATAGCTCTCGTTTTCCGGCAACGCAGTTTCTCTTTCACTCATTCCAACCTCCCAACTCTCTCCGCAGAACTCTCTGTGTAAGAATGGCTCAGGTGGTGGCCACTAGATCGATCCACAACTCCTTCCCGAGCCCCATTCGCGGATCGCTGCGCGGAAGAGCAGAGAAGCTTAAGCTGGCTGGCTTACGCTCTACATTTCTTGCGTGGAGTGAACGGAACGAAAGTTCTAAAGCTGTACGGGAAAGTACACCGGTGGTCACTGCTAGTAAGTCATCACGCGCCCAGCCCCAAATCCTGCCGGTGTCTGCTGACGATGTTTCCCAGGTTGTATTTTTTAGTTTTAAAGTTTCGAGTCCTTTCATAGTATAGCTTTGCTATGAAGGATTATGTTTTTAGAATTATAGATTAAGCAAGCTCATATATAAGAAATGCAGCATTTTGAGAAGCATGAATCACTCTCTTTGTTTATAAGTTTTCTTTCGATATCCATCCCCACATTTATTTTTGTTTCATCCATGACTTAGTAAGGGGTATATGATACATGGGAGTTGGAACGGAATCAAAGATATTAGATCTCTATGTTCGTTCCTCTATGTTCTGGATGAGTTGTGATTCCATGATCCTAAGGTCCACATGTGAAATGTGGACCATCTCACATTTTTCATGAGCCGATATGAAGATCTTTTATTTTTTCATAGCCCAATCCATCCAAGGCATTTATAAACTAAGGTCCATAAAATGAGTGTGGACCTTAGGATCACGGAAGAACTTTCCGTTCTTTCTTGATAGTCATGCATTAGCTTGTATAGAAAGAGCCCTCTTACCAATTAATGTACTTCCATAGTTTCATGTTCATGTAGTTACTTATACACTACCTATGCTAATGTGACAATAAAATTGCAGTTAATTAATAAGTTTACTCTTTTGGCATTTTCTTAAAAATACTCAGGTCTATCCAGTTAATTAGAAACAGTTGTTATTTACGGAGTAGTATATGAGTAGTTTTTAACCTTATCTAGATAATCTGTGAGTTAAGATGCATGAGGTAAGGCCAGCTTGGTCTGCAGCTTGCACAATTACCAGGTTACTTAACTCATTTTTGTAACAATTTGCTTTACATTTTTACACTGTTTTATAAAATCATTGTAATTGGCATGTTTACATGAAACAGTACTTCTTCATTACTATGTAAATAGTTGTAGTTCACCCTTGCCATAATTTTCAAATTTCCTTACCTACAATATCTGTTTTATCAATCAGGGTGAAGAACAAATACAGTATTTACAGGCAGTTCAGCAACTTGATAACACCTCTGTAGGTACAAGGACTAAACCCACAGTGAGACGTAAAACGAAGATAGTTTGCACAATTGGCCCTTCTACCAACACAAAAGAAATGATATGGAAGCTGGCTGAAGCTGGAATGAATGTTGCACGTCTCAATATGTCTCATGGAGATCACACATCTCATCAGAAAGTGATTGATTTGGTTAAAGAATATAATGCTCAATCAAAAGATAATGTCATTGCTATCATGCTCGACACTAAGGTAGATTTCCTTTATTTATAATTATATTTTTTTTGTAATTTTAGTCACTTGTTATAGGATGGATGACAAACATTTTTTATGCAACAACAAAAACAAGAACAATTAAGCCTTATCCCACTAGGTGGGGTCGGCTATGTGGATCAAACACTTCTTATATATTGCTACATCTTGTGTCTGGAAAGGACCAATGGCTTACACTATACCAAATTTCTTGAACAAAGTTTGTTTCTACTAAATTACTCCGTACTTCATTACTTCATTTCGGTTATGTTGGGTTAGTGGATTCCATTCTAACAGTGCACAATCCTAAAATTTACTAAGCTTCATTTTCCACCAAGAAGTTCCAATTGATGCTTTTTCACTGTGACTATAGTGTGAATGTGAAACATCACTGTGACTCTATCCAATCTTTTGATCTTGTTAAGAAAATGTTTCCACATTATGCTTTTATTTGTTTCACTTAAGGATTCTCAAAGGATTGTCTTTTGTTTTGTGTTTGGAGGTAATAAATCACTCTATGGAAGCAAAATAATTTCTTAGTTTATTTTCTTACGTGCTGCTATTTTCAAACTGACAGGGTCCGGAGGTTAGGAGTGGTGACTTACCTCAACCTATCAATTTGAAAAGTGGACAGGAATTCACCTTCACTATTCGAAGGGGTGTTGGCACAGCTGATTGTGTCAGTGTAAACTATGATGATTTTGTTAATGATGTTGAAGTTGGGGACATGCTTCTTGTTGATGGTACGCCAGAGTTACCCCTATTCCATATGCCTATAACTCCACATTTTTCATTTGATGTAAAAATTCTGAATTAAGCATTTTGTTTAGAATCATTCAAAACATTATTTGTTGTATATTTTAAGGCGCCTTGTAAATATGTAGTGGATCCTTGATATAAAAACTGTTCCATTTTCTTTATATGGAAGGCTTGGACTTCAGAAGGGCTTAACCTGACAATTTCTACTTAAGTTGATGAAATATGTACTCAATATTTTGTGTTGTAGGTGGCATGATGTCTTTAATGGTGAAGTCCAAGACGGAAGATTCCGTTAAATGTGAAGTTCTTGATGGAGGAGAGCTTAAATCTA